ATGCAAACATGCAAACATGCAGGCATACAGACACACAGACATACAGACAGACAGACAGACACACAGACAGACAGACAGACAGACAGACAGACAGACAGACAGACAGACAGACAGACAGACAGACAGACAGACGACGGACGGACGGACAGACACGCAGACAGACAGACAAACAGACAGACAATCACAAACACAAACTCAGAGACAGACTCAGACTCAGACAGACACAGAGACGCACATCGCGGTACTAACATTTACGGAAATTATATTGCCGCGAGTATATCCCAAAATTTGCGGAAAAATTTATGACCGCGAGCATGCTTGCCCAAAATTTCGGAACTTTTAGAACCGGGAGCATGTCCCCCTAAAGGTACCAAAATTCTGAACTTTTTATACCTCGAGATTTCCGCAAGCTACCAAAATTTCGGAATTTTCAGTACCGGAACAGAAGTGCTCCCAGTACTCAAGTTTCCAAAACTCTAGAACCACGAGACAGGCACGCAAGAGGCTTTCAAAAGGAAGCGCGCCAAAAAGGCGAGGTTACAGGGGCCGCGGGCGAGATATGTCTGCATGAAAATTTATAAGAAATTTAGGGGCGCGAGACGCCATATATATTCAAGTTCTACGACCTTCCCCTCCCGCCCCATAGGCTATCATCTGCCCTCAAAGAGTTGCCAAAGAATGTCTGGCTTCTGTGCTTGTTGTGTGTGTGGGAAGCAGAGGCTCAAATCTGAGTTGGCGGTGTGGTCTGCGGCAAGGGTTCTTCGTAACTAAGAATATATCCACATGATCTTAGACAAAACCACATGATCTTATTTGAGCACAATGTGCTAGATTTACCAGAGACGTGACCCGAAAATCATCCATTATGATGCTCGTGTCAAGTTGACTGAGAGGATATTCTTGATTGGTGAACCCGATGGAAGGCGCAATGCATGAACTTGTTATTCTCTCCGCAGCATTTATCTAAAATCTAAACGCATTCGCCGTCAGTCTTCCAAAGAGTTGGCAAATCATCGGCCATCCAATTGGCTGAGGCGCCTTCCAAAAAAGCGGACAAGGACAGGTCTCCTCACAGCAACAGGCACGCGCCTCTCGATCTGGGCCTGTCGCGCAGCTGTTTCTCTGACCTCAACGTTTAAAGACTTGCGTCTTTGCTAGTCTTGTAAGGTCAATCGGGTCATGCACCATAGCTGCGAGCTCTTCATTCGCCCACTGCACCTGTATGCGTCACATGCGAGCCATGCATTCTGCAAGTAAAGAGCAAATTCTGTACTCGCAGTGCCTTGTAATAGAGGGCATACCCGGACAATGTACCCGCCTGCAATCACAGTATCTGCAACTTACCGAGAGCTAGCACAGACAGAAAATGGGGCCGCGACGACAGTGAAGCCTGCGATGAAACTTCGAAGTCGCGAACCAAGTGGAGCCTTTTTCTTCGGCTTTGCCTACACGAGGCCAGTCTGCAGTCTCTTACGTCCGAAGTTGGACGGCCTTGCTGGAACCAGCCTCAACCTGCTGCTTCACATCAGTTGATACTTCAGAGAACGTTCTCCTCGCTGGGCTTAAAAGAAGCCTGCGCAAGTACTGGACGCCCATTATACTGCAGAGGAAGATAGGAAACGAAATGGCTGGTTGACTCTGGGCTGCATGCCGCATTCTGGATAGCTTGGAGACATTCTTACTCAACCTCATTGCAAATTGCAATGCTGCAGCGGTATTACATTACCGACAAAGAGACATCACTCGAAACGTCGACTGGCACCCTCTCCGCACAGTTAAATGTGGGCCCAGTGTACCAAAAGCGTGGCAGACTGGGCTCCCAGCATGCTTGTCATGCTGATGTCTAGGTCTGAGCCGGCTCTACCTGCTGCTTTGAGCCGCAGACTTGCGCGAGAGCCTGATGGACAGTTGGATTGCCAGCCCACGCCAACAACATCCGCTCGCAATAACAATGGTCATCCGTCGTTCGGTGAGGGCTTTCGTCATTTTGGCCCGTGCAGCTGAAGAGTCAAGTCCGTGCATCGACAGATCCCAGATTTGCTGTCGGCCCTAAGCTGGAAAACTTGCTGCAGCACGGCCAATCAGAAGTTTTCAACCTGAGCTGTGGCTGTTGCTGCCAGTTAAACCAACGCATACACAAGTTGTGCCAGCATCAGCAAGCAGTTTCTGGCGCTGAGCACTTCTGAAGAATATCGTCGCCCCCCATGACAAGGCATAATTGCTTTGCTTGATCAAGAATCGAGAACGAAGTCAAAAACTGGCAACAACTAGAAGCAAAAGAACAAGACAGGAAACGAGCATTGACCAAAAGCTTGAGTAGCTGCGACAAACGCCAGAGGCTTCAAAGATTCGGACAGAAGTGATGACGTGAATGGTACCATGCTGCTGCCTGCTTGGAATCCGAGAGTTCGCACACAAGCAGGGCTTCGAGGCTCCATCCCTAAGTCTCGTGTTGGTAGACCCCGCACACAGTCCCGCATGCAGGGGTGGACTAACGGGACAGGATACCAGTGCAGCAGACATTTCCGTATGCTGATAATTTTCAGCAGTGTTGAATTGAAGTATCCATGGAAAATGCCCACGCGTGTCCAACAGTAGCAGCAGAAGCAGTTTATGAGAACGCGTGGCGGTAGCTACGTCACCCAGGCGCCGCGCCCTCGCCATACATTATCTAGGGAAGGTAACGGTGTACCTGTATTGCACCTACTTATTTCACCATTTGCTCACTGGTATGGTAAAACCCGTACTCACAGACATAAACCCATTCGTTTACTTGTGGTTTAATGACAATGATCCGTCGGAGCCCAGGATTCCACGTGCTGCGCGCATCTGGCATACTTTCTTAAAGGAGCTTGGTAATCTTTCCACGAGCTCTGAGTTTCTGACTGCATGAGCAATGGAGAAGACCAAGGCACCCATGATACTGACCACCAGCACAACAGGTCCGATATTGTCCTGCTGGCGACACAAGAGCCACTGCAAAGCATCAAGAAGGCACGACACTTGATCCTCGTAGCGCATGTCGACTTTATCGTCCAGGCCATCTGCGCGCCAGTTGAAAACATGCACTGACCAGGCCTCAGGAATGAGCAGAAACTTAGGACGTCACGAGCAGAACCGCAACAGAAACTGCGACCCGGCAATGAGAAAAACGGCAGCCAACACAAGCAGCCGTCCAACTGTTGCGTGAGCTGCCTCATGTGCGCGAGCTACCAGAAAGCATATGCAGATCTTCAGTTGCATCAGCCTCTTAACGTTACTATCCCCGTGCCTCTTCCGAGATGTGGAGCATCAAAACTCCTGATCAGTTCTGAGTCTTGGTGGCCGTGCACTGATTGACTATGAGGCACGTTAGCCCTGCTACCCCTGCTGTCTCACATTGTCAAAGGCTGGGCGCTGGACCAGCAGCTGCTATGATGGTGGCAAAATGAATCCACTCCAGGAACGTGCGCTCGTTTGAATACCTAAGTGGGAGCAGTTGGGCGAGGGGTTGAGCAAGCCGAGTCTGCAGTGAGCGCTGCATCAGGTTGCCTTATGCTGGCATGTCACAAAGTCTTCGGCTGCACCGCAACAATTGCCCTTCTTGTGGGCTTGTCCTGCGAGACAGGCCAGTTGTTCAATGCACCATCATCTGCTGAAGATATCAGAAACAGACGCGACAAGCAACAAGCAGAGAGGTCGTTACTTGTCTGGACATCAACTCCCAGCATTCCTGCAGCATTGGATGGCTCAGCCCTGCCAACCCATGCACTGTGATGCCATGCCAACATCAACCACGGTGACATGTACCAAAAAGTGTGGGGGCAGCACGCTGCATGAAGCCTTGCTCTGCCACCTGGAACAGCATTCGTATTGGGCAAAGCGGACTCGCACTTACTTGCCACGAACCGCCTTTGGTGCCGGCGCACTCCCAGAGAGCAGTGGCCTCGGCTTTTCTGGGAACCCATTGACTGCGCACGCTCAAGCCAGGCGTGAGCCTAGGCGTGGACGTTCGTCCACAAATCTACGCTTGCTATTCCTGTACGTCAATGCTAATTGTTCCAGACTTCCCGTGTCTGGGCTAAGGGAGCAGCGCACTGAGCTTACCAGCATCATCGGCTGGCACCTTCTTGGCATCCTCCGGCGACCCGCCTCTGCAAACGAGCACTGCTCGCATCCACCCAAGCACCCAGGCCCCCTAGGCCCGCAGGCCTCTCTTGGCTAGAGCGATCCGGGTCAGAGCCATCTGCACAGGGCGTAAGGCTCGGAGAGTCGTACAGCCATGGAATGGAGATGCAGACACTCTCAGACAAACCGTGACTGTGATTTCGGGCAGCGAATCAAAGGCGAGTTTCCACGAAAAACGTGCGCTTCAAGGATCGCGTTAGCATTGCGATCCTTGGAACGAATGTTGTCGTCTGTCAAAGTGGATCCCTGGCTCATGTCTCAAACGGATCATGCTGCAAGGCACGCAGGAATGAAACTATTCGGTTGTGTTTGACTGTGACGTCCAGGTACATTGTTCGACTCCCGTCCGCATTCCCTCCTCCTTCACTGATGCAATGCGTCCTCTGTCGAAGAATTTTGAGGCCCGGTCAGATCCGGTCGGAAAAGTGATGGATTCTGAGCTGTCTGTGATGTCTGTGCTGGTTCAAGTCTGCTTCAGGGATCTCCCGTGGACAAGAGGAGTTCTACAGAAGAAATGGACCGCGAGGGCGGGGACTTTGGTGGCAGATCGGACTCCCTCTGGCCCCTACGTCAACAACAGCTCCTCGGATGTCTCATCGCCCCATGCATCAACAATTCTATTTCAAAAACCAGCGGCCTCCTGCTCCTGCTGAGGCGTCGTCCCGAACCTACAATGACAGTGACCCACAAACTCAATCTCAGCGGCGTCTGCTGCAAAAGCAACTTGCATTGACAGAACTCCAAAGCTCCCAGCTCGTGAAGCAGTCGTGCACTGCTCTCAGTCCATCTGCGCCAGCGGAAGACTTGAAAATTCGTGTGATGGCACCCAAACAAAACCGCTGTCATTACCCACCTGTGCGGTGCATCGTCATCCCTGCCACTGCCACCTTCGCATCGAAAAATCAAGACGTTGCATTGGGCAGACCCGTCCCTCCGTTGCTGCAAGGCTGCAAGGCCCCGGCTTTTGACACTTCCTTCGGAAGGTTCCTGCGGCCTCAGAAATTCCACACTGTAGTGTATTGTCAAGAAGAAAAAGACGGGGGTTTGCGGCAAAGCAATACGGCCAAATAGCCCACAAATCTCTTGAATGGCCCGGGCATGTGAGCCTCGTTCTCCTCATTGTCCTGCAGATCGGAATAAACCTGGGGCATAGGCCAACATATTTAATGTAGCTGCCGACTGCAGCTTTTCAATGCGAAAGGTGCTCCGTCCGAAGTCCGAGGTGTCAACATTTCCATACCAATGCGGCATTTGCAGCTTCAGCCTGGATGTGTGCACGGATCAGGGCAGCTGGCAGGCTTTGCCGGCAACACTTGGGTCGCAACCCCAATGCATGGAAGCGGGCTATGGCATGGGCTCCTTTCGAAAAGCCGTTCGCCTGTCAGCCCAAGACACGCGCTAGCTCACATCTGAAAGAACTGTGCAAAGCCTGCACAACACTGCCGTTTTCAAGAAGGCCAAGCCACCTTCAATCACACGGGAATTACGAGATCTCACATGCCTGAAATTGCCTGAATGACGGCACCTTGGCCAGGAAGACTCCTTCAGACCGGGAGGGAATTTCACGGTGATGACCTCAAAATGCTGGCCACAGGCAAGAGCTCCAGAGCTTCTATCTCCACGGCCCAGGCCACGTATGGAAAAAAGTCCACAGAAGTCGGGCTGCCTGAGTCCCATTCCTGCCATGCCCACTCTACACATCGACTGGCGAACGGAAAACTCTCGGCACGCCTTGATTTTACCGAAACGCACATCCTCATCAAAGATGACAACAATGCCACCTTAAACGTGACTCCGCCGGAAGCCCCCGACTCTTTCCAGTCCAACACCGCATGTGAGCATCCAACAATCATCCTGCAAGATTGAGCGGCTGTAGCTCGCCTCCAATATGTCTCGGTTGCAACTGCACCGGGAAGAAAGTATAAGTGGCTTCAATGTGCGCCACTGCCATCGGAGCCAATGTATTCCCAAATGTTCTTGTTACCTCGGGGTTCTACACGAAAGATCATTCATCGAACTGAAGACGGTCAGGCAACCGGCCTCCTGCATTTTGGAAGTTCCCAACAGCTTGTCAGCTGGAGGGTCCTTGGAGATTGTGTTGATGGCCAGTGCGGCTCGACTTTGTACCCAAAGCTCCAGGCACTACCAATCACACCACGCACTCCAATAGCCCGCGCATCCAAGACGGTGCTTGGGACCTCCGACTTGCATGGTCAAGCTGTAGGACGCACTGCAGAAACAGGATGAAAGAACATAATATAAACATACTCCAGAGACCGAGAGAGAAGCGAACACTGGCAAGCGACGCCGGCGAATAGGACTCTACAATTGCACAAACTGGAAGCCTTGTTGGTGTAGGCAAGAAAGAAATCGTCAGCAAAGAGAACTTGCGAGCACACTGCAATCACAGGGCCAGTTCTCAGAGATCTCAGAGGAGTTTTGGTACTGGTAGGTATTCGATGGCCTTGGTTTGCGATTTGCGGCAAACACGAATTGGATACCCTTACCAGTTTGTTTTCTGCTCGGCGATTATCGCAGCTTTCTGCTGTCCAGCATGGCTCACGGGTCACGGCTGTGTGTTTGCAGCTGCTGCTTTACTTCTCCTAGCAGCTAACATCCACGGCCCTGCACAGTGACAAATGAAAGTAGCTTTACACGAATGTCGGTGGACAGGTTTGACACTGAGGATCGCCGGAGCACCCCTGCAGAATCACGTGGAGCCCACAGGAGCAAGTCGGGCAAGTTCGAGATGACCACCGGAGACCACGGGAAGGCAGAATTACCACGCCTGTCCCTTCAGCAACCGTGCCACCTCATCACTCCTGCAAGGTCTGCGTCTGCTGCACAGACGCGGGCGTCCCGAAGCAGATAGCCTGATGAGTACTTCGGTTCTCTTCTTGTCTCCTGTCGCCTGGCGGATGGCATGTCTGACTCTTCAGCTTCGTTTGTGCCGCAAAAGGCCTGATACACGACGCACGCGACTTGATTTGGATCGCTTCTTCGAATGTGCATCGCAGCACTTGGCCTTGGACCAGCCATATCCCGTGCTCTTGCAGCAACAGTAACAACCGCGACTTCTCTGTTGTATTGTTCATTGCCCTTTGAGCAAACGACGACATGCTCTGGTTGGACTGGAGCACATCATTGTAGACCTGGATGCTGTGGAAACCCTCAGATGCCCTCATCAACTTGGACATCAACATGGAGCTCGATACCTTGAAGTCCGGCGTGTCGAGAAAAACCGAGGTCGTCTTGGGTCTCGGCCTAGGTTCCATAGGGATGCATTTCACAGGTCCTTTGCCTGCTGGCTCCGAGCCACGGGCGCTTTCGCGCCAGCGCTAAGGGCAGGCACATCCTATGCTGTGGCAGATTTACGAAAGCATGCAGCTTGTGGCTCGTCAGCATGTCCTGAGCAACATTCTTTGCCACCATGAAGGCTGACAGCTTTACTCGGAACTTCATAGCAGACTGGCCAGGGCTGCAGGATGACGGCTGACACCATGCTTTGCAATGCTGTCAGGACTAGCCTTCGCTTCCAGCAGGTAGGTGCTCTCAAGTGATCCTGGACGATCTGTCTGCCTACCGTCTCTTTGCATTCAATCCGGGATCTCTGTGAGCAGGGCTGGTCTTGTCATCTGCACCAGAGAGACTGTGTTTGACATCACTGTACCTGAATGCAAGTATTGGCAAGTCCATGAGTGCTTACCGGCATCTACGCCACGAAGGGCTTCTGTGCCCTACACTCCACCTTGCCCTGCTTAAGGCTGAAGTCTGAGGCTCCAGCGGCGCTGCACCCTGCCAGACGATACAGACTCTCCAGCGTTATGTTCCCTGTGCGTACAGTCGTTTATCATCTAGCTCTTCCTGAACAGAGACAATCCTTGCAGGAACAACTGAAGCAAGCGCCTTCCTTCGTAGAATCTGGGCAATGTCGCCAAACTTTCCCAGCATGTTGTCCTGAATTATCAAGCAGTCTTGCGATTCGGTGCAATCGAGGTGGGCCAATGAAGCTGCGGAGGCCCCGGCAAAGTCCGTCGCCATTAGAGGGGCTTTCGCCACCTGGTCAGGTTTGTCTCAGTGGCTTCTCAGCCTCGAGTAATCTGGTCCACGGGCAGGCACAGGAGGAGCAATGCGCAAGCATACAGAGTTTCCAACTCGGAGCTGCATATTCAATTCCCAGCCTGAGTCATGAACCACTGCATGATGAATTTCTTGCTCGACCTCAGCAACATGGGAGTGTAGATGCTACAATGAAACCGAAAATTCATTGACTAAGCTAACCGTTTCGCAGGTCGCAGCTTTTCTGCATCCGTGCTGCTTCTCGTACTTCTTCAATGCTTTTCTGAAGCCAGTGAAGTTCTGTTGCACGAAAAACCTTTCCCAGCAGATCAATGGTCTAGAGAAGACTGCTGGAAACTCCTTTAGGAAGTTGTCTGAGCGACCAACTTCAAGTCGCTAATGTCCGTGCCCACCTCCTCTAGCCTGTGGAATGCAAGCCACTTCCAGTTTCCAGATGTTGCGCTGCGGTCCGGCTTGATCTGCCTTCGGCACAATTCCGCCAGCGGCTTGCTGGCCAGAACATCCTGGAAAACGCGTGCCAGCACGCACTAAGTTGGAGATCCGGAGGTGGCCAAAAGTTACCAGTCCACACTGCCCGCTGCGGTAGGGACCACATCAGAATGGAGCAAATCTCATAAGCTGCAGACTGCTATGTAGGATGGGACTTACAAACCCAAACAACAACTTCAGATCTGGTCAAGACACTACCTCCAGAAGCGACACTTGGTTGCACAAGCAGGTGAGAATGGCTGCTTACCTAAATTAGAAATGCCATAAATACATCACAGCAGAACAAACAACACCGAGCCATTCCGTGCTCAATACCCTGAACATGCCCCAAACGAACAAGCAACCAAAAGTATTGCAATAAATGTTGCATCCCAAGGATCCTGTTACTAGGTCAGTGGCACATTCATACAACAGAACGAAGGTGACCAGAAAGGCATGGCCAATGGAACTGAACCACCAAGACACAATCTGGACAGTTCTCCTGCTTCAAGGCATCCAGGTTTCCATGAATGCGCGCCTCGCCGGGCCGATGACTTCATAACATGGGGGTTTCCGAAAATAGGGGACCCTAATATGGTACCCTAAATAATAGGATCCTTATCATAAGGACCCCCAAATAAGGTACCCTAATGTTCGGAAACTCCCACACTGTATCCCCTGACAGAAGCCTCGCGGTTGGAATCCTCCGCTCCCTCCCTTCATCTTCTTCGTTCAGCTTGGGCAGAAAACTTTGGAATTGCTTACAGTAAGGCCCTGCAAAGTGTGTCTTCCTCCGCCTTTTCGCAAGCATTGTCCGAAGCAAGTTGCTTTTGTACCTACCCCACCGGCCAGCAAGCACACACACACACACACACGTTTTGGCTTGGCACGTGGAACCGCGAACGGCGACAGACAGGCTCATTGTTCAACAGTGCACAAGTATATGATGTCGCAAATGGCCGGCACACAGTCAGTGGTGGTCAGCCACTGCATCCACTCCGGTGACTTGGCTTCGTTGGCCAAGACTTGTCACCATCTTTTTGGTAAACACCATGTTCTCGTGTGGAGGATGCTTGACTGGCCCAAAGCGGAGGCCCAAGAAAAACCCGAATACAAACTTGAACAGGTTGCTGTGCCGAGACAACAGCTCACTATGATGAAACAGGAGTGGAGATCTTAGAACAGTACCGACAATACCGATGCCTCGGCAACAAGGACCAACAACCAACAACCCAACCATCGCGGAGAAAGCATCCTGCCCTTGCAAAGTGGAAAGATTAGAATAATTCCGAGGCAACAAGCAATACGGACCAACAGTGAGTGCATCAAGAAAACATGACTGCCTGCATGTACAGCTTGATCGTGCCGCCGTGCGCATGCCGCACTACCGGATTCTCGCAGGTGCACGTGCCGCCCTGATTGAACGTGCAGTGTTCGGGCTCTTGACATTGCAATGACCGATGATCCCGATGAAGCCTACTGTGAGCGCATGTCAACCCTGAAAAACAATGATTGCGCAAGTGCCCTGTCATCCTACTGCAATGATCCCGATGGTATGACACCTCTGACCTGCGCGTTAAGTCCGACTCATGCGCTATCCCGGGCATGCCACCGTGATCCGGCCCCATGTCGGGTAAGCCGGAAAGAAAAGCACTTTGGCTTGGCACGTGTAACTGCGAATGGCGACAAACAGGACAAGACGCAGATTGACTAGAATAAAGGCGTGCATGGAGCGCGTCCTTGTCCAAGCGGCGCACAGCGACTATGATAGACGCTGTCACAAATGGCAGGTCATAAACATGCTGAGCGCCCACGCTTCCTGTTTTGCCACGCCAGCAGGTTCTTGTCTTTGTGCTGCAAGCACAAAGTGTTCAAGAGGAGAAGCAACGAACACCCTGTACTTAAAAAGGATGCTTCCACTGCCAACGCAGTCAATCGATGATCTCTCCCTCCAGACCCACGGCAAACACCGCATATCTGGAAACAGAAGAGGATCGATCCGAAGCACGCAAGAAAAGATACCAGGGCTCTCCTCTTCCTTGCCTTCAGTCGGAACTGAATCCACTGGGCGGGACGGGTGGGCCACAAAAGAGCTACATATGTAACGGCGTTTTCAACACTAGCTGCTCTCAGCATACGCACCGCTACACTCAGACTTGCACACAAGGCTTCCTTTCACATAATTCCATGCTGAGCGCCCACGCTTCCTGTTTTGCCACGCCAGCAGGTTCTTGTCTTTGTGCTGCAAGCACAAAGTGTTCAAGAGGAGAAGCAACGAACACCCTGTACTTAAAAAGGATGCTTCCACTGCCAACGCAGTCAATCGATGATCTCTCCCTCCAGACCCACGGCAAACACCGCATATCTGGAAACAGAAGAGGATCGATCCGAAGCACGCAAGAAAAGATACCAGGGCTCTCCTCTTCACCTGCCCAACCTGGCTTTAGCCGTCAAGCTCCAAAAGACGATCTTGGAACTAGCGCAGCTTTGTCTGTCAACGCGGCTGCAGTAATCTTTGCCATACTGCGCTGGCTCGGCCCGAGCTGCAAGTGACTAACTGTGGCCGCTGAATCTTGCAAGTAGATTCGCGCTGTTGAGGTACTAGACCAGCGGCCTCGTAATAGCGTTTTCTCCATGCTGCCATGGAAAAGGAAATTCCATGTAGCGCCACCCCTCCGAAGACTGTAAACCGTCAGGAAACCCGGAACCTCGAAAAGCTCGACCAAAGCGTGGAAGAGCTTCCTGAAGAACCGTTCACCGCGCAGAAGAAGATAATCTTCTGCACGCAACGTGGAGCAGGCTACACGCAGCCAACGCACTGCTACCTGCGATTCCACGACGACCATTTCATTCGCTCCTGTTCGCTTGCCAGCTTTGCTTTTGCCTAAGCTGAGGACCGCCTTGTCTCGCATGAACGTGACATCTTTGCGCCGCAAGTTGTACAATTCACCCGACCGCAGCATACAGTCGAAGGCAATCAGGAACCCAGCTGCTTCTCCAATAAAGCCCATGAGTACACATGCACCGGCAAACGCCGCGGCAAGCAAGGGTGACAAAGGCAACACGCGCAAGGGTGGCTCTATGCGTTGCCACACTTTCGCCAGCCGCCAGGCCTGCTTGAGCCTGCCAACACAGGCGGGCAGATAAAACTGCAACCCGGCTAAGGCAAAGTTGACCAGGGACTTGTGTTCACCATCCGAATATGCGAACTCAATCCAAGCACAGACTGATTCATCAAAGTTGTCCCAAGATACGCTATCCGACTTCATATGCTTCAGAAAAGACAAAATGTGACCCAGCGCTTTCGCATAACGATCCTGGATTTTTGCAGTAACCATTTGAGATTTCAAGTTCTGCCCTTTGCGGCATTTCTGCCTCTCTTCTTTTTGAGTGAGTGTGAGCGCACGCCCCATCGCGACGGTATGTCAGACGGGTTTGAGTCTGTGGCCACGTACCCAACCGCCAGCACCACTCCACTAGCCAACACTAGCGAGTTCAGTTTTCGGAGGCCATTCTTCAAGCGGGCACTACTGCTTCGCCCCTTGGCGATAATAGAGCAAACAACCTGATTGTCAATCAAATGCAGGACACGGCAGCGACCATTGCTTGCACGACGCAATCTCCATTTGAGCCCATTAAGAACGGCTTGCAACTCGAGCACATTGATGTGGGCATCGTACTTCCAGGCATACCCGTGAACCACTGACCAGTGGAAAAGTGAAGAGTTTATACCTGCTCGAGGCCATGCTTTTGCACGAAAAGGGACACCCACATCTAACCGAACGTCAGTGCCTCCTTTCTCGGCTTGCCTGCAAAAGTGCTTAACCAGCAGTTGAGCCTGTTTGGTTTCACAGGAGCCCTGAACAAACCGCGGAAAGAGTAGCCAGGACGGAGGTGCGTAAGACACCTGCCTGACGAGTGATACATGGTCCCGTGGTTGTGTCACTCCAAACACGGATAGCAAAGAGTGACAAAGCATAACCAGAACATGCACACATTGAGTCCTGCCCAACATATGACTTCCCAGCTCGAACTTTGACTCCACACTCATCTTGTGTGGAAGGGTGCCCTCAATGTATCCTTTATCGAAGCCCATAAGTACCTCTCTTTCAGATAAGGAGGGCAAACGCAGCAAACCTGATTTGTCGGTGACCATAGCCTGTTCCTCATAATTAGCAACTGGCACTCGGAAGCTGTCCGCCTCCCAGCGTCGCACAGCCGCCGATGATGTCTTGGCGATGCCATCTGGATTCCTGGGCGCTTTTCTCAAAGCCCTCATTTGCGTTAGCTCTGGCAGCCACTCACTGCCTTTCCACGTGCTCCCTTGTTCAAGCCAACTCTGACACCCTTGGCGGCACAGAGGAAATTCCCAACTTTTGTAACTCTCATGTTCAACGATCGATTCCCCGGTTTGCACAGCGGGTTCCCACGAACACCAAAACAGGCGAGGACGACGGCACCATGTGAACCATTTGGCATCCACCAAAAGTGGTTCAATGCCCAATATGTGACTAAAGCTGCTCAGCTCTCGAGAGTTCAAACTGGCCAGGTTTTCCACGTAATAATGGACGGGTACCATAAAACATG